TTTTATTTTGAGAAATCGGGAAAATACAGGATCTAAAACAGACCGGGTCAGCCATTTCCGGTGAAAGCTGCTGACTTTCACGGTTTCAAACAGTTTAGAAAATTCAATTTGACTTTTGTATAGCAAGTTATCAAAATAAAATACCCTAATTACTTCGAAAATGGCATGACTCAAGTAAAAAATGCAACATTTGAACAATATATGTTTTATTTTTGAGAAATCGGGTGAAAATAAAGCAATCAAAAAAAGATCGGGTCAGCCATTTTCGTTGTCGGATGATTGTCACACGTTTACAAGCAGTTTGGAAAATTCAGAATTTCGACTTTTGTAACGAAAGTCATCAAATTAAAATACCCTAATTACTTCGAAAACTGTACGACTCAAGTAAAAAATGCAATAATTTGAACAACAGATGTTTTATTTTTGAGAAATCTGGCGAAAAAGCAATCAAAAAAGATCGGATCAGCCATTTTCGTTGTCGGATGATTGTCACACGTTTACAAACAGTTTCGAAAATTCAGAATTTTGAATTTTGTAAAGAAAGTCATTAACTTAAAATACCTTAATTACTTCGAAAATTGTACTACTGAAGTAAAAAATGCAATAATTTGAACAACAGATGTTTTATTTTTGACAAGTCGAGCGAAAATACGGCGATCTAAAACAAACCGGGTCACCCATTTCCGGTGTAAGCTGCTGACTTTCACGGTTTCAAACAGTTCAGAAAATTCGTAATTTCGACTTTTATAGCAAGTCATCAAAATAAAATACCCTAATTACTTCGAAAATGGCAGGACTCAACTAAAAACCGCAAAAAGTGGAACAATAGATGTTTTATTTTTGAGAAATGAGGCGAAAATACAGCGATCTAAAAACAATCTGGACGAGTCTTGTCTGTCCAGACGACCTTTCAGACAGTTCGAAAATTTCAGAATTACGATTTTAAAATATAGACTAGCAAAACTAAAATACGCGAGTGTCTTTGAAAATAGTATGATTTAAGTGAAAATACGATAATGCAAACAACAAGTGTTTTTATTTTCCCGAAAACGGGCGAAAATGTGCCAGTCGCAGGATAAGTATTATTCAACCATTTGTCACCGCACATAAAATCAGTCGAGTAGTTAATTTATACTGATGAAAAAAAACGAATTGTAACTCTACATATATTAAGCGTCACCTAATAACCAGTACAAAAAATGGATCTTGTATTGAAATTAAAGATTTAATGTAATGAGCACAAACACTGAAAGACGTGTTGCAAACTGCGCGGTCGATTGATTGTGAGTGACGGCATACGGCTTCCTTAGCTTGGTCATTTGTTTATAACTGTAGTAACCCACGTTGCACGCCGGATGTCATGAAATCCTTTGTTTTATAATCCAGTTGCCTGTCCCTCTCTTTCTAAGGTCTATGCTTTAATAGTATTCTCTGAAAAATAACAAAGCACCCTGCATAATTTGCATAACAATATAACATTGTTATTACTTCTATTGTATTATTTGTTATGCTAAATTTTCTTTATTGTTAATTCTAAAGTATTACACTGACTCTGTAATACTCTTGAGAGAATTATGTGATGTAATATCCTAACATTTAGTAATATGAGGTTATTACGAGGATACTGAAAAGTATGCATGAAGACAGTACAGTATCGACGGACGCATAGCGGTGGTTGAAGCACCCGGTATACTTTGGACATGCTTTGCAGTATTCTCGTAATAACCTTATTAATATACATCATTTCCTCCCAGAAATACATCATGGGAATGCCGAAACCCGAAACATTTAAAACAGATTTAGAAAACTTTTTGTGTGGGGTCCGTCCGGTCAAACCCTGGGGGCAGCCGTGTTTTTTTTTTATCATAAGAGGACACTTATGCGTGTAAGCGTTCCATATTTAGAATTTGTGTTTCCGAATATGGTAGAATGAACTACCCAGTGCAATACCGCAAAATGACGGCATGCTGTAACTTATGGCATTACGATGACAGCATTTAACGTACTACCCTATCAGTCATATGTGTTTAAGTAAATGGCAGAGTAGTGTCTTAAAAGGACTTGAAAACAAAAACAAATGTTTCTAGTCAAAATGTTCTCAAAAACGAGGAGATGCAAATTGTTTTAAATTTGGGCTATAATATTTGGCTGCATATAATTTTGGTGGTTTACTGGGGACACTGTGCAGTGCCCCCCCCCCCACCCACCCAGACCAGAAACATAATTATTTTTTCAAGACCTAATATCCAAAATAATATTTTTATGATCAATAAATGTATTTTTTGGTTCATGTGTTCTTACTTCTATTCACTTCTTCTATAGCATGCACCCAGCTACCACCATTTGCTTGTTATTTAACCCACTCATAAAAGATACATTGTCTTACATACAAGGGTGTTCCTTATTAGATTAGCTCTGCATGGAAATAGGGGTACAAGTAACCAATAACTTCAACACTACGACTAATGTAGAATGCACTAGTCATACTAAAAATTATTATAGTATTTTTATTAATTTGTATTATTTTACATGATTTTCTGTGCATTATTATTATATTTACTCATATTATACTTTTTTAATCATGTTACTAGTATTTAATTTAAATTAATAATTTTGTTTTATTTAGTCATTTTTTTGTTTTTTATCTTGAGTTTACTCACACCTAGTTATGGGCATGCAACTTTACATTAAAACTTCATGCATCTTGGGATACATATGCACATCCATTTGTTTCATTATGGTTGAATAGCGGCCATTTTTTGTGCTAAAAATTCATCAAAATTAAGCATTCCTGCCATTTCGGAACTGGATCTCAGTTGTGTATGGTCATATTTTCTTGAAACTTGTTATAAAACATCAGACATTATGGGACCCTTGATGTACTTTTTGTTTGTTTTTCAGATCGGTTTCAAAATTGCCAATTGATGGCCATTTTCTTTCTTTAAAATCAGGCATTCCTACAATTCTTGATCTGGATCTCGGTCTTGCATGTACAGATTTTGTTCAAATTTAGTATGTACATTAAACATTGTTAGACCTTGGTACATGTCATTTTGTTGGACAGATTGTACTTAAAATGGTCGACTGGTGACCATTTTGTTTTAGCGATTGCAGCGTGGAGCCTTATCTCTGACATGCTCAAACAATTCATGTTCAAACTTTATAATTCTTAAATAAAATTTTATGTGACTTTTAATAAGGCGCAAATAAAATTATTGTGGATTCTGAGTTCCTTTGTATTCAAGTTACCAAATTACAATTTCTAAAGATGTTTTTCAAGATCACTATATCAATGTAAATTAGCATAACTACATTAAGGTTGCATCACAACAAATAATGTGCTTCAATGGCACATCATATCATTATAGAGGGCACATTGATGAAGTTCAATCTCAAATCTAAGTTTACACATTCAAGATGTTGTCATGTAAGTAGTGACTTTAAAGCAACACTGCCATCAGAACTGTGCATGTGTATACGAAAGGTTCACACACACGAAAAAAAATGTTTACATTATTTTATTGATAGCGGCCATTATTTAGATTCTGATATAAGTCAGTTGTACATTTAAAAGATAAAGCATTAAAGCAATGTGGCATGCTTGGTCAGAAAAAATGTTTTTTTTGTGACAATTAAAGGATGGTAGTCGTCACGCCTCGCATGCGCGAGATATACGGGTCTTGCATAAATGAAGATGGTGACTTTGACTATTGCGCAGATCAACGAGTACAAACTGAGACGTTACTAAACTTTAATTAGGTAATTATTAGGTGCTTGGAAGGTATCAAAGAAGTCACCGGCGGTAATTAGAGCAGGTCACGCCCAGGTCAAACCTCATACTTGTGATTTTCATTAGAAGAGCACATTGGATTGTGGGAAAATCAATGTTTATCAACACAAATGTCGCACATGCGCAGCGCGGCAACCACTGCCATTTAATTAAGTTTATTTCATTTTGACAAACTGAATAGTGTACGAGATGTACGTAAAGCTTGTCCAAAAAACAAGATAATTATACGAGTAGAATGTGCAGTTTTGACAACAGTGCTACTCTAAAGTCATGCAAAAATCAGAGCAAAGATATAAAGAACCAGAGAAAAATTTTACTTTCTCTAGTTTTTAGTTTTGATAGATTTCAATTTATTTACAAACATAAAATCTTTGAATTTAAGTCCAAAACAGGTAGTGGTGAGAAAGTTACCATGGAGCAGTTGAAGAACTCCCTCAAAAAATGTGAAAGCTCCTCAGAAATAGAGAATGACAAGGCAGATGGGCCGACCAGAAAGAGCAATACCCTAGATAACCACAATCTTGAAGTACCAAGGCCAAGCAGTCAAGTCAGTACTTCAAGTCATGATAGCACTCAGATGAATAATAAACAAGGAGTTAAGGAGCCCATTGAAAGAAGGCTCCCCCAGCCACCTCCGATGACACCACCAGCTGCAGATGATGACGATGATGATGATACCTACGCATCAGTGGATAAAGAAGTCACTGGTTACTCAAAATTAAAAGATCCAAACTACTCAAAAATCAAAAATGCCAGCAAGAATTCAGAGGACGCAAAAGATCTTCCTAACTATGAGAGAATTAAGTTGGTAGGAGAGGAAGAGGAAGAGGCAGAGGCAGAGGGAGCTATTGGAGGTGCAGAAGATGATACATTTTACACGGCAATACCAAATGACTCTTATGCTAAGGTAAGAAAATATGACTAATACTGGTTTCAATGTGTTTAGATATGGTACTCTGCTTTTGTCAGTGTACTTACCATATGATAGTGAACAAAAATTATCTTAGCATGAAATGAGAAATATCCAGTACACTCCAATGCTTTACGCATATATCGTATTTGAAATATTAGTAGCACAAAATGACAGTGACAGTGGTGTGTCTGGTCAAAATAAGTCATATTTTAATAATCCAATATACAATATTGTATTTGCTCTATTAGTAGTGCAGTCACTCAGGTAAATAACAGTGGTGTGTCTATGATCAAAATAAGTCATAATTTAATGATCCAGTATACAATACTGTATTTGCTCTATTAGTAGTGCAGTCACTTACGTAAATGACAGTGGTGTGTCTATGGTCAAAATAAGTTATATTTTAATGATCCAGTATACATTACTGTATTTGCTCTATTAGTAGTGCAGTCACTTACGTAAATGACAGTGGTGTGTCCATGGTCAAAATAAGTTATATTTTAATGATCCAGTATACAATACTGTATTTGCTCTATTAGTAGTGCAGTCACTTACGTAAATGACAGTGGTGTGTCTATGGTCAAAATAAGTTATATTTTAATGATCCAGTATACATTACTGTATTTGCTCTATTAGTAGTGCAGTCACTTACGTAAATGACAGTGGTGTGTCCATGGTCAAAATAAGTTATATTTTAATGATCCAGTATACAATACTGTATTTGCTCTATTAGTAGTACAGTCACTTACATAAATGACAATGGTATGTCTGTGATCAAAATAAGTTATATTTTAATAATGCCTAAACCTGGTTAATTAGTTTTTTTTTAAATCATACACAATAATTAACTTATTTGCATCATAATTTACAAGGTAATTCATGATATGCATCTTTATATCCGTCCAGGTAAACAAGGATCGTACTTCGAAAATGAAAGCAGATACGAAGAAACGAGATTCTTCCACATCCGATAGTTTGTACAGTAGTGTTAGTGATGGTGATGGTGCTCCTCCACCAGTGCCCCAGAAAGCCCCTGATTTAGATATGGATTCACCGGGGACCTCGCGCAGAGGAGACAGGTACAGGCATCTTTCCTATAAGTTGTGCCCTGCAGTGATGAAGTATTATTTTATGGGTGATATGAAGGACATTTGATATCGTTTTGATCTGTAGTTGTTCATAAATAAAGATTTTACTAAATTCTAAAAGACAACTATGCAACCTAACTCAGTTGTTGATTCGAACAACATTGGTTCCCAATAAACCATTTCCATTCCCTGCGAGATCCTGAGTTATGCGTGAAATCAAACGTCAAAACAGGACAAACAAAGGTCATAGCATCATAGTGGCAACAAACATCACGTGGGATTCAACAAACACGAAAGTATTTTGGGGGACATTTCCATGCTTAATAATGTGCTGTACACATTTCATGATAGGCAATTTTTATTAAGTAAAGGTATTCAAACGCAATATTCTCCTGTCAAAGATCGGCCTTTCGATGTGAGCCAGGAAATAAAGTAATTTGAGTTCAAATTTGTGATTTTACTGTGTCATTTCGATAATTTGTTGTGAATTCCAGGGAAACTTATTGCCTGAAAAATAACTATTATTTTGTCTGTTGCTATTTTTATTTACTCTTTTGTCTGTCCAAATTTTCATATGACATAATGCTAAGTGATGTCATTTTATAGAACAAATGATATTGGATGAAAGGTGACCATGCTGTTCTCATTTGTCAATGTTTTATATCTCACTAAATTAAAAACTAACCTAATTATTTAGAACGGCATCACAGTCAAGTACAGGATCTGCTAGTGCCACATCAAGAATGTTACCACAGCAACCGTTACCCATGGTGACATCTTCGTCACAGTCCGCTAGTTCTCAGGAAGAACCAAATTACACGCAGGTGAGAATAAATGATTTTTTTCTTCTTTATTTTGGCATGTCAACATAAAGAACAAAGCATTTATAGCGTGCAGGATTGAAGTCAAGATGGAGTGTCAAAAAACAAGTTGGGTCAGTTTGGTGACTGCTTGGGTTCTCAATCTTTTCACGACCAGTTCCCTCTTTCCATCACAAAACTGTCCCATTTATAGTCTGCATTTTCCATCAGAAAATTGGGACAAAAATAGCAAATTTTTTTTTAGTAAAAACTGAAAATTGTCTCAAATTTTGTCTGTTGGCTCATAAATTAGGGTTCATTTCTAGAAATATTGAATAATATAAGAAAAAAGTGCGGACAAATTTGGGCGAGAAAAATCTGGTGGTGAAAAGGTTAATAAAAATAAAGATGATACATGGCTGTCAGAAGATTTTCTGTCTTTCCTTTGTTTTTCACATATTTTTATAAAATGTGAATTTCATTTCATGAAAGCATAACAAGTTACACTACAAAGAATCTTGGCATAGAGAGCACACTGCTCTTGATTTTATTTAATGTGATTAATTTTTTTTCTTTATATTCCTAAATTTCACATAGATATTTGTTATGTGTTTATTATGTTTAGCTGCTATGTTATTGGATCAAACAGTGAAGTTACATCTTTCAGCAGGCTTCTTGTATATATCGATACTTTAATTTCATGAGCCGAAAATGTTTATGCATCTCTGAAAATTGTAATATTTTGTAGAACCTAAAATGTCAGTGCTGTTAAATATTTAATTTTTGCTTGGAATTAATTTTTGCTATTTTCGCTGAAGGAATGATTCAGTGAAAATAAAATCCAGCAAATATATCCTTTTTCCTATATTTTACATTCAACTCAACTAAAATCAGTGAATATAAATTCCGTACAAAATACCCAAAAGGTCTTTTTAAATGAAAATTAATTCCAGCTAAAATAAAGTATTTTACAGTATTTAAATATTTGTGTGCATAAATGCCATTAAAGCAAGGGAGTCGTCACCTGCACATGCGTCAGATGGCCATAGCGTGTCAATTTTTAGCATGTGTTGTTATCATCGATTGGGACTCAATTCCCGCGCGTGCACATGTGACGAACCTCTCGCTTTAAACTATCAAATCATGACGATTTGTAGCAGTGAAAATTGAACAGTTTGCCGTAAACTTATATGTCTATTCATAACATTATTCAGGTTAGTGTGAGGGAAAGTATTGAAAGCATCAAAGAAAGGGAAGGAAAAAAAACAACCCATCCTTATACAGCAGTGACAGAAGAACCCAATTACTATTCAGTGGTGAATTCTGTGCAGCCACCTAGTCCTACAAGTCCCCCACCACTGCCATCAGATAACACCAGGCCAACGAGTTCAGTGCAAGAGGAGGATATTAGTGTTTCGGTGAAAACGAGAGGTGTAGAAGCAAGGACCAGGGTCAATAGTGCATTGTATGAGAAAATATCTGGTGAAATAGGTGAGTTTTGCGAGTTATGATTTAAGAGAGCAAGTGTTTATGGAAAGCAAATGTCTCATCATTATTGTCAATTCATGTGGTCTCGAAAAATAGCTGCTCAATTTGAAATATAATTATGTGGTCAACTATTGTATGTGAATAAACGATTTGCAGGTTTGAGTATCATGTGATATTTATGTCAGAGTATGTCAAAGTAAATCCACCATTTTGTTTCATATCTAGCCACGTAATAATCCTTAAAATAGTCTTTAAATTATCGATCAGTATTCCACACCAACACGACTTGGCAAAGTAAATGTTAGATTTGAAATATTATTAAATTCAGAAAAATGCAGTCTCAAAAATAATTAATCTGTTGATTAAAATGAGTCTATTGTTGCTATAACAATGTATTTTGTGTGTGTACACCAGAAACCTGCAAATGGTCTATTGGTCATTTTACCATTTGAGGGTTTTTTGTGCATGTAGTCTTGTTTGAGTTGGTTTATGATGTGCTGGGTAACCATGCAAAGAAGTGGTCCCAAGTTTATGAAACTTTTTCAAGGAGGAAGATGATTTCAGTGATTCTTGATTACTCATCAGACAGCAGATCATATGATGTACAAAAATACCAAGTGATACTGAAACCAACAAGTCATCTATTTCGGCAGGTCTTGTTTGCATAATTAATGAGATATGCATAACAAATATAGCATACTAATCTTGAATATATTCACATAGCTTCTATTTGTTGAGATGTTAAGCTGTGCACCAAGTCATATATACTGTAGAATACTTTATTTTCGCTTGGAATTTATTTTTGCTGTTTTCGCTGAAGGGATGATTCCGTGAAAATAAAATCCAGCGAATATACTTTTTTTTTTTCTATATTTCACACTAAACTCATCAAAAATCAGTGAAAATAAATTCCATACAAAATGCCCAAAAAGCCTTTTCAGCGAAAATTAATTAATTCCAGCGAAAATAAAGTATCCACAGTATACTGCAAAATACCTGGTATGGCCTTTTAGCTTTTTTATTGCAGCTCCTGATCACTTATTAGTGAGCTCCTGATGTAAAATGGTAGCAAAAAATAAATAAATAGTTAGCATGTTGTTTTTAACTTATCAGTGATTTTGCTAATTAAAAATAAAGTACCTGTATATTCTCACAGTTAGGCTGAGAAAAAAAAAATCTCTGTTTCTCGTTTCCGCATGGATCATTTTGAACTATGTGCCTCGAACGTTTTTTTCTTTCTAAAGCATTCCAAAATGCTCTTGTACTCGCACTTGTCTCAAATTCCCCCATTTTAGCTCAGTATTCAAAAAAAAAAAAAAAAAAAATCGCCTGGAAACAGAAAATTCCATGAAACAAGAAACAGAGAATTTGTTTTTCCTGGCCTTAGCTAAATTAAGAATCTGTTAATTCATGAATTGTGTCAAATTGACTAAAATGGCATGTAGCCATTTCATTATGTTTTACAGTAGTTGAGAAAACATAGTAATACAAGTGAAGTCTTGCTATTGTCTGTGTTTCTGATGATGTCTATGACTGTTTATAAAATACATACACTTTTATTTCACAACAATTTAACAAACAACCATACATGCATACATACATAAAAGGAAGAGTGTAATCGTATTTGACTCACACATTCAGTCGTGACAATTTAAAATCGATGTTAATAACGTTTCTACATTAATATTGATAGATGATGAGCCGCAAGAAACTAGTGCCCCTATACCAGAATATGCATCAGTTAACAAGTCAAAGAAATCCAAGGGACCCACAGGTAAGGACTACTTACCCCTATCATAGAAATCCAAGGGACCCACAGGTAAGGACTACTTACCCCTATCATAGAAATCCAAGGGACCCACAGGTAAGGACTACTTACCCCTATCATAGAAATCCAAGGGACCCACAGGTAAGGACTACTTACCCCTATCATAGAAATCCAAGGGACCCACAGGTAAGGACGACTTACCCCTATCATAGAAATCCAAGGGACCCACAGGTAAGGACTACTTACCCCTATCATAGAAATCCAAGGGACCCACAGGTAAGGACTACTTACCCCTATCATAGAAATCCAAAGGACCCACAGGTAAGGACTACTTACCCCTATCTTACTTACCTCTGCTATCTTACAAATCATGCCAAGTTCTATCCAACCCAAATCAAATCTACAGTGACTGTACCCTAACATAATTTTATTCTATCAAACACACGAAGAATTTGTTATTCTTACCATTTCATTCGCGAGAATACAATTTCTTGCCATTTATTCTAGCCAATGAAGTGACATAATTTGTATTTCACCTTTGACACAGTGAGAATTTGTAGTCACTCCAATGAAATGGCGAAAATTATATTTTTGCCACTGCCACTGAAGCACAAAAATCTGGAGTCTCTCCACTGAAGTGGCGAGAAAGTGTATTCTTGTCAATTTTGTATTTTCGCCAATGAAATGGTGAGAATAACAATAGTTTCCATAGTGCGAGAAACATTTTCTTCTTCTCGTCTTGCATTTTTCACCAATAGAGAGTACCTTGCCCCCGTGTTCAATGCTCCCACATAGACAATTTAATATAAAAAGCTGATAAAACAATCTAAAATCAGTTTTATTCATATTTCTCATTTTCAAGTTTTTCAACATAACTGTTAAATCTGTTTCATTGAACAAGAGTTTTTTCTAAGAGTATTATATTCCTTGACAATTAAAGATTTTGGATCGTACATTGACAATGGTTGTAGTTTGTTTACTGTCATCTTTGTTTGGTATAGTTTTAGTTTCATTACACCAAAACAAAGTTTGCCTTCATTTTTCCAATATTGAGAAGTGAAAGAATTCATTATAGGTCATCAACAAATTAACTCCAAAAAATTTAGAAATTGTCTGCACCATACCTTACACTGAATTGTCTGCACCATACCTTACACTGAATTGTCTGCACCATACCTTACACTGAATTGTCTGCACCATACCTTACACTGAATTGTCTGCACCATACCTTACACTGCCTTGGCCTTTACATGTATTTCTTTATGTGGATGTACAACTGGTATGTGTATGGGATACTTACACAAAAATGCCTGTAACAATTTGTCAAATTACTAGTTATAATATATTTTTAATAATTATACTTCAGATGTTAGCACACTATACTCGTTGATATCGTGTTGTAAGTCTCTGGATTGCCAGCTGGCTTAAATAAATCCTGAGTTTATTATTAAGTCGTTCTACTGTGGTGATTGGTGCTGGTTGTGTAACAGATAATTTTGCAGACTAATTTTCGTTATATTCCATAATCGCAATGTATCGTCCCCCACATGGGACACTAGTGTTTGCCAAACAATGCCTGTAACAGTTTGTAAAATTACTAGTAATTCTCAATAATTATATTTAATATAATTTTTAATAATTATACTTCAGATGTTAGCGCACTTTACTCAAAGGTGAATAAGTCACGCAAGAAAATAGACGCAGCGCCAAACCGAGAGAATCAGAGATCAAGTTCAAGGATATCGAAGTCAAGCGATGATGGAGACGTTGATTATTCACGGATCAAAGACAATACTGATGCCACTGATCCCGGCTACCAGGCTATTGATGAACTGAATGCCGATCTCGCCGCTGAGGAGAAGTTGAAAGCTGATGATATGGTGCACATCAGCCAGCATAAAGTAGATGAAGGATTTTGGCAGAAGAAAGACCACACTTACCAGACTATACACGGACAAGAAGAGGACGAAGAAGAAGAGAAACAAGACAAACTGTGGAATACTCCAGACTAGACGGATCGCCCCCATTCAGATCTATACTGTATTTTGTCTATCAGAAACCCAACTCCATGAACCAAAAATCAAATTTATACTATACTGGATCATTAAAATATGAATTATTTGGACTGTAGACATACCTCTGTCATTTACGTAAATGAACTAGACAATAAAATAAAGACGATAGCCCCAAACTCAGTTTAATGTAACCTTTTCACCACCAGACTTTGTCGCCCAAATTTGTCTGCACTTTTTTTCTGATATTCTCAAATATTGAACCCTAATTTTGGAGCCAACAGACAAAATTTGAGTCAATTTTTGTTTGGCGATTTTTAGCACAATCTTTTGAAAGAAAATGCAGACTATAAACAGACTATTTTGTGAATTTGTGATAAAAAAAGGAACTGGTAGTGAAAAGGTTAATAAACGGTTGCCATAATCTTTTGTAGTTCACTTTTCACAATTTAATCCTGCATACAATATATGTATTTTGATCCAGACCTGTAGTTTACGGGGAAGAAATCGTAGAAAAATACATAAAAATATTACTCAAAATTTTTTGCAGGAAAAAGAATAGCGATCAAATGGATATACCGTAAAATCTTTATTAGAAGCCGCATCCCTAATAGAAGCTGCACCTATTCTTTTTGAATAATAGAGAACCAAAAAAAATCACCATTTCCCATGTGTAGATGCTCTAATAAAAGCTGTATCACCTCTGTTGCATTGTACCATTTTATTAGAAGCCGCGGCTTTTAATACAGATTTTACAGTAGTTGTACTCTTAATAGGAATAGTTTATCTCAGTTTTGGTATTATTATGTGATATATTTAGTCACAGGAATATTCATGGAATATGCAACATTAAATACTCAAATCACAACGTTCACAGTATGTACATGCACCTATTTTTTTCTTTTCCATAATGTTTATAATGAAAGCGGTGCAGATTACAGTAGATGATGCATTGTAATGGTTCTACTTTACTCTAATTTTTATATCAATAATGAAGGATTTAGAGGATCAGGGCGTACACAGCTTTCGTAATTATGTACGGTGATATGCGATGAAGTTCTCGTAACAAGCAAATTCTAAAGATTTGCAAATGTTCGTAAGCGGCCCCATTCTGTGCAAGTACGTCAAACATCGTTCAAATCGATAGCATCACAGAACAAAGTAGATGCTTGGAAATATTTGATTGCATAAACAGAAATAAACAAATTTATCATTGCATTCAAAAACGCTAATCGGGGACATGTTTTGTGAATAATCAAAAACGGTCTGAGATGAACGCGAATGAGTACTTTCATAGATTCACTAATTTGCATTAAAATATTAGAGATGTTGTTTTCTCTTGCGATTTTGGGATCATAAAGCAATTCATGTGACTTTTTTAATTCTTCATCGCATATACATTAATCTTAAAAATCCTGCGTGTATTACAAGTTTTTTTTTGTATATAACTGTGATTGAATTTATCAAGTTTTAGTTTAGAGGATTTAATACTTTTCACCACCAGACTTCCTTGGCCAAATTTTTTGATACTTTTTTCTCATATTCTTCAATATTTCTGGAAATGAACCCTAATTTTGGAGCCAACAGACAAGATTTGAGTCAATTTCAGGTTTTACTCAAAATATTTAGCTATTTTTGTCCAAATTTTCTATTGAAGGAAAGTGCAGACTATAAACTGGAATATTTTATGAATTTGTGATGAAAAGGGGAAACTTGTGGTGAAAGGTCTAATTAAATCTTGGTTCAGTTTGTAACTTGCGCACAATGGAGGATTTGGGTGATATAAACCTGTATTGTTTTTATGGATGACACATCACATTGTTCGAATGCAGTACGGCTCTCGCGCAACCTTTCCTGATTTTCACATTCGTATCATGCTTTCATCGCATTAAGGTCACATACAGGCTGCACATTTATCGCATTTGAATTGCGTATTCATAACGTATTCGCGTCGGCCAATTCTCTAGAATTATGTTTATTTAGGCAAAATTTGAACAAAAATCATCAGAAATAATTTTTACCGTCTCAAAAATAGGATTCAGCTCGCAGCGTGGTATGGTAAAAAAGTGCAATAAAAATATGCAATGCAGGTTAGTTGGAAGACGCAAATGTTATAAATGTACGGATGTGTGCAACATGTTTGGTAAAAGCTGTACTGTATTGGTGGCACAAAACAACACGCATACCTACATGTATCCTACATGTATACATTAGTTAACAGACTTTAAGTTAAAGTGGGTATCCTCGGGGGGGGGGGGGCATCCGGGCATTTTCTACTGCCTGGCAACCCGCGGCGGTGAAAACAAAGACCCAAAACTCGCAGAAAACGGTACTTTGCGATGGTTGTTGAGAGTCCCCTGAACAGTGTAACAAGATTAGCCCTACGTGTGTAACATATATGAATTTGGTTGATCAGGATTACTTCAAAGTTGAGTTTATGCTGTTTTCTCGAGTTTTCACCGGCTCCACCGGCGTTCCACAGCAGCGCGCACAACCCTCATACGTGGTACATTGGTGCGCGTCTTAGCAACGTAGAACGTCCGTGACGTAGCTCCGCCCCCGAGGATATGGAGCAGCAAAATAGTTTCCAAATTCTGTAACTGTAAATAATTTAATTTTGGCTCATTTTGTTATTTGTATTTTGTTATTTAATTGGCCAAAAAGTTGAATCAAAATCATCTAATACGCAGATTTTTGTTTTTTTGTCAAATTAGTGATGTGAATTTTTTTCATATTTCAAAATACACATATTGCTGCCAAATGCTTTTTTAATATACTTCATCAATTTGTGAATTTTTTTTTTTAAGTGTTTAAAAATAGCGGTAAACAATCACTTACTTAATTTTTGTTGTAAATAAGGTCAGTTTTAGACAACATATCTACTTTAAAATGGTATAATACACCTGGACAACACTTATCTCTGTTATACTCTAGGTTTTATTTGAGAATTACTTATTTACTTGTATTTTGAATCAGATGATTTAAATAAATTTAAAAGTGGCCACAAACATTAACAAATTATCCATGCATATTCATTTGCTAATTAGCATATTATTGGAAATATTAATTGCATGAGATGACATTTTTGGATACTGAGGGCCACTGAGTGCAAGTTAAACTACTGTAAAATACTTTATTTTTGCTGTAATTGATTTTTCGCTGAAAAAAACTTTTTGGACGTTTTGTATGAAGTTTATTTTTACTGAATTTTGATGAGTTGAATGTAAAATATTTCCTTGATTTTATTTTCACTCAATCATCCCTTCAACGAAAATAGATTCCAATTTTGTTTACAGTAAATTATTGTGCTTTATCATATACTTAGTAATGCTTGGCCTTGTATCGCTATAGGAAGGGCAATAATTTCCCATATCACGCCTGGCTCAGTGTGCCCGGTCCTGCTTTTATCAATCAAAACAAAATGTGCCATTCTAAATTACATCGTGTAATTACTTCTATAAGCTGTATGATGAAACCTTTATGGACTGAATATAGCCTTTGCTGCCCTCAGTACGGCTTACATTCCAATGCAAGTTAGGGCGTTCCCGTTCTCAGGCAAAAAAAGTCGTATCCAGTCAATAAAGTATATTATATCAGTGAGCTTAAAATTTCATACTAATTACAACAAATATCGTAAATACTGCATTTACCTGAATAATGTTTAAAAAATTTATGTACTTATACTTGTATTTGGGTTTGATACTATAGTGTGACATACTTGATGTGTGAGTATATAATATGCACACATTCTGTAAAATATTCAAGAATTCACTGTTATTCTTGAAGCGTGGGGTTGTTTACTTTCTTAATTTTCAGAGCTTTTTTTGTATAAACAAGAACAATTATAGTATCCCATAATTCAATGGCACAATACGGGGATTGACAAGTCTTGGTTTAACAAAAAAAACAATTTATTTGACAATTTGTAGCAAAAAAGCAGTACTTTGGAAATTTTAGAAATAGTGAATATTAATTCGATAATTTGCATATATTGACTGATTTCATGTCGTATGTATTACCAAGGGTTTAGGGTATAAATATTATTATATTACTGCATATAATTTTATGAATTTATTACAAATAATTATAAATATCAAGCAACTAGTGTAACTGAGTAGTATTCAGTATTCAGCCCGAATCAAAGGTGATTCAGGTGATATAGGAGGACATTTACATGGTCTGAATCACACTGTTTTGCAAACATGCCCTCCATGAGACTGTGCTCGATTCTGTCAAGCTACTGTGTACTTGGAAGTGCCTGTGAAACAAGCAGCCAATCAGATTTGGTGTTAGATGGCAATGGAAATCGTGTGGTACTGTATTTATCCCGGTAAGAGCCCAGGGTCTTAAACATGGAAAATTGCCTAAAAATAGGGGTGGGCATATGTATGCCCGGACATGACCTCAATCTCTTACTCGGATAAATACGAAATATTGTATTGCCAAAGAGGACACACTCTACATGTAACTCAAATCTGCATAAGTAATAATCGTGATGTTATGGTGGGATAATTGTACCTTGGCTGATGGGGTATTTCAATGCATCCAACAGCCTTTAAAACAAACTTAAATCTTGTTTCTGTAATCATTTGGGAACAGGCTTGTAAGATTTTTTGAACACAAGGCTACTTAACTACTTGAATACAGCCAAGGCCCCCTAACTACTTAAATACAGTCAATTCAATTTGTAAACGATTCACGATTTCAGATATGCACACATTTCAAATTGGCAATTTCAAGAATGTACATGTTTGTTATATAATTTTCGCTTTACGAAAATTAACTTAAAATGTAATTTATTCTTTTTCCTGCATGGTTGCATGTGCATGGTTGTTTGACTGGCAACATCAGGATTTCCTTTACGTGAATCATAGAGGTAAAAAAGCTTTTTTTTTTCACCTCCATGTGTTAATCAACACTTTCAACTCAACCTGTTGTCCTGAAAAATGGTGTCATTTTTATAAAGTGCACCCTCTAGTGACGGATCAGAATGGCCCAGCTGTGGTGATTTTTGTTTTCAGTTAAATTAAAATAAAAAACGCTGTTCGCAATATTTTTTATTTAATTTAAAATGAAATAAATTGCCTAAACTGTACCAGTCTATTGACAAATGTATATGGGTACAGGCAATGTCACTCAAATCGATAACTGATTGTGTGGTGGGTGGAATAAAATCTCTCAAAAACATTCTTCACTGATGGATGTCTACAGATAAAAATGATATTGATGCTTTTAAAGACACCCATCTATGTCATAGAAGCACTGTATCACTAGAGGGCGCAATTTATTTGACCATAAGCACAGGAATTAATTAGGATTCTATATGACCTGTCACATCAAGCTACAACTTGAGTTGTGAATCCTGTCTTAACCTTCAACCATCAAAGAAAATTACTAATAAATAATAGACCGATAAACTAGCCCAATCAGTAATAATACATACTTAATTATGCAAATTAACCCGCTCATGGCTAATGAATATATTACCGGTATATGGAGAGACTTGTTCAGAATGACTAAATATGCCAATCTTATGTGGTTGGGCGAGAAGATCATTTTCTAACTTTTGAAATAAATCAAAATTTTTCTATATTTTTTTATCTTGTTTACGTTCTTGCTGGATAAGCTGTTATAACAAGCTGGAGACTGATATAAAATTAGCATACTGTAAAGTACTTTATTTTTTAGCTGGAATTAATTTTCACTGAAAAGACTTTTTGGGGTTTTTTGTATGGAATTTATTTTCACTGATTTTTGACGAGTTGAATGTAAAATATAGAAAAAAAGGTATTTTCACTGAATTATCCCTTTAGCGAAAATAAAGTATTTTACAGTACAGATTAAATAAGACTAACAAAGTTAGGATCTGAATAGTCAAAGTGTGTAGTATAGCAAGTCATGTTCTTTAAGCAAAGAAGTTCGTAATTAGTGAAATGGCATTCACAAAGATTTATGGACTGATAGTTGAGAAATGACCAACAACTTATTGATTTTTTTGCAATATTGTATACACTCTTTTTCATGTCATGTTTATAGGAAATGTACATCTCCATTCTAGACTGAACTGACGCCACGCATTTCAACTTTGCTTTGAAAACCTATGGGACGTTCACGCTTGAGGAAAGTGTGATGAAACAGAAGAGACTGCTTTTATTCTGTGCTAACATTGTACATTAAAATCTTAGTAAATGAACTCAAACATTTGTTGTGATCTTCAATAAGCAAGATTTCATCGTTCTTTGTACAATATCTTGATGTTCTGCAGTTGAGAATATATAAGGTAAAATCTGTAGGGCACATACCTATATGCATAGTCTGGTTTTTCTAGTTTCTCCAAAAATGAAGATGAATCCACCATCCTAGTACTAGCAATATGTCTGAGTAAGTGGGAAGGCAAAATCCACTGACCCAGATTAACAAAAAAATGCCAGGAGAGACAGCAGTGACATTTGAAGTACAGAACTGTCGTCTGGCACAAATAAATATTGGACAAAGCTTAATTAATTACATCCTGGTACATACAGATAACATATCTCTGGGAAACTATTCTGGGTTCATGACTGACTGGTTATAATAGCGACCCCTTTCAGTCATAAAGAAGCAGCCATGGAAGATCCTGACTGTAGGAACTCAAAACTTGTCTATTGTTTTTCACTCAAACCATATTTATTGTTATTCCAGTAAATTTAATGATTTAATACAATCAGTAATTTCAAAAAGTAGTTTTTGAAAAAAAGAAAAAAAAGAATTACATTTGTGAAATTAACAATCGTTTAGTTTTGTTAGAGTATAAAAGCTAATGACTTGAGAAAGTTGATAATAGTGAAAGTTGATAATAGTGAAAGATATACTGCTCAATACAGATCTCGAGGTCTCGGTGTTCATAGTTTAGAATTTGGATTCTTATGTAGCTTTACATTTGTTCCTTTAATAACATTTGGATAATCTCCTTCAAAGATGCGGTCCAGTGATTTATTATACACCATTCCTTGATTGAAAAAAAACAACAATACATAATATAAACAATTTTGGCAGGAGAACGATTTAGACAATTGACATGAAGGTGGGTACTCATTAGGGCATAGCATCAACTCGAGGGGGTTTGGTCATTAAATGTCAACTTGGAGATCTTTGCCTTTCATTGACATAATTGTTGAACTATACTAACTGAATTTGGGTTATATAATCTCCAAACAAGCAGCCTGTCGGCTGCGATAACTCCACTGTTAGCAATGCACATGGCAATTAAAGAACTGGAGACATCATTAGAAAATGAACAATATATATAGTATCAGAGAAATCGGACTTGCAGTTTTTAACAAGAAGTCGAAAATATCACATTTTACCAAAAATATTCACCAAAATTAGAGAATGGAAGGAAACATCATGAAATGGACAAATCTACGAGAGGTCTACCCAAGGTACAAGTACATCAAGTATCAAAGTATTCAGGCTTGTAGTTTTCAAGAAGTCGAAAAAGTTGACATGGATGACGAACGCTGACGGACAATCACTCACATGATCAGCTCGAGCTCTGCTCGACAAAGTCAACAGCGGAGCTAAAAAGATAAATGTGGGTGATTCATTTATGCTAACAGTACCAATAAAGAAAATATGAGAAAGTAGTAATGGGTCCACCTAGTTTATATTGCTCTTGAAAACAAACCAGTTCATATGCAATTTACTCAAATATATATTACCTGTGTGCTTTGATATGAAAGCAATTATAGCATTATTCTGTGTTGCCATGGCTACATGAGGGTCCAATCTGTTCTGTTTTCTCCAGTAATCCAATAAGAATGGAAAGTCTGTTTGATTGTCATGATCTGTACCCCTTGAAGGGGGGGGGGGGTAATAAATAAGATAATTAGTATGCGTAATATTTGTATTTTGAGAGCAAAGTGCAGAGAATTCTAGAAGAGAATGGATAAGTAGAAATATCATAAAAGTTTAATTTTCACAATTTTTGTCAAAATTCCAGGGATACAAGGCAATCTTTAAATTCAACCAATTCATTTCTTCTCACTTTTGTGGTGATTTAAATAGACATTTTGCAACATGGATTTTTATGCTGATTGTTTTCATTTTCAGGACCTTCATAAACTTAAATCAATTTTTCCAGAACATTTCATTCCAAATTCCAGTTCAAGTAAATATGACTGTATAAACCCTGACATACAATAAACATTTATACAACATGCGTTTATTAACAACTGTATCTATTAGGTGTACTCCATTTTCTACAAGGTATTCTATGGTCTGCTGACAGTGTGTAATCAAACGAAAACAAAGCAGTTTGCAAAGATAGAAACCATGTCAGTTTGTATCCATATTCACCTTGAAAACAACCTTAGGCCAAAAAAAAAATTGTTTTGTTGCCCTCAGCGACTGACCGAAAAATATGAAATATTGGGTCGTGTTTTTTTTCCTATATACTCTGCTATTCACGAAAAAAATCCGACCGACCCAATATTTCAATTTTCCGACTTGAGGGCAACATAAGTTGTTGTTTTTTTTGGCCTTATAACTAAACCCCACAATTGTGCCATGCAGACACAGCCGTAAAATACTTTATTTTTGCTTGGAATTAATTTTCGCTTTTTTCGCTGAAGCGCATGGTATTTAGAAAATAGTATTATATTATATTATAGGATCAATAACCTGTCTACGCTGCTAACCTGTGACGATAGTCAACACTGCTAACCTGTGACAATAGTCAACACTTCTAACTTGTGACGACAGTCAACGCTGCTAACCTGTGACGATAGTCAACGCTGCTAGGTGACCACCGAACTCGGCCAGATTTCTACTCGGCCAGTGACCGATCACGGCCAGTGACCGTACTCGGCCAGCATATATGTTAATGGTTTGTCAAAGGGTGCCGATCTCAGTGATGCAACAGCGAGCGCTGTATTACAGATTGCTGTATTACAATAAAATGTAAAGGGTGTTGATTTCAGTGATGCCTATCGTGCTTTGTTAATAAAAGAAGGGTTGTCGATTTCAGTGACACAACAGCGAGCGCTGTATTACAGACTGCCAGAGTCAT